ATTATTTCCAAGAGATCACAATAAAAGTTTTGCAAGTGAGAAATGAAAAAAAAAATGAATGCGCATCCAAGGAATCAAACCTTGGTCACTACCGTGGGAGGGTATTATGATACCACTACACCAGATGCACTTGTTGTTGAATTTGTAACCAAATTACTATTTGATTTCACCAACTTCAAAGTATCTTTTAGAGGTGGCAATAAAATCCACTTAGATAATATCCATCCATAACACAAAAAATAATTTAATGAATTTGATCAAATTCATCCACTAACTCATATGGATGGATTCAATCCATCCATCTCATTTTATAAATCCATTGGATATTATGTTATCACTTATTAAATTAATTAAATAAATTATTTTTATGAAAAAATATTAAACATTTCAATTAAATAATTTTTCTTTATTTTAAACACAAAAAACAAAAACATTTAATTTCTTCTTCTTCTTCCCAAACTTTACGTAGAAAGTTTCTTCTTCTCCAAATTACTCTCTAAACTAAGAACCCTGATTTCTTCCCCAAGTTTATGTCTAAACCAAGAACCCTAATTTCGTCCCCAAATTTCTTCTTTTCCAAATTTTTTCTTCCCTCAATTTCGTCTTAATATCAAGCACTAGTAATTCATCTCAACGTTTCGGTGCTTCAATCGCCATTCATCTCAACAATTGGGAGCTACAATTGCAATTCATCTTCTCTCTTTAGCTATTTAATATGGCTTCTTACTCAACATTCGATAATATTGTTGTGTTTTGTTATATGAATTCTCTTCTGCTATATGAATTAGTGTTCACCCATTTTCTCCAGTTCTAACTATTCCGTTGTAATCAATTTTAAGATAGAAATATGGTTTCAAGTGTTATTGATTTATTATACTTGGTTAAAAAACTACAAATACATATATACTTGGTTTCAAGTGTTTTAAAATTATCAATTGGAGATATTTGTTTGGAAATGGTGATTCTAACTACTCTGTTGTAACTATTTTTAAGGTTTATAGATGTTCTTAGAATTATAATTACTATAGAATTTTGCATGTTAGAGATGATTATTTTAAGATAGAAATATGGTTTCAAGTGTTATTTTGATTATGCTTGGTTAAGAACTTGCAAATAATGATACTTTGTTAGAGATGATTATAATTACTATAGGATTTTGCATCTTAGAGATGACTTTGGAACCAACAGCAGCAGAACCAATAAGAACAGTGAGAGTTGATTTTGGTTTGCAAACAATAAGGGTATTACTACTTGCAAACAATAAGAACAGTGAGAACTGGTTTTGGTTTTGGTTTTGGTTTGCAAACAATAAGAACAGTGGAATCATCTTCATGGATCATTTGTTTTTGATTCTGAGTCTTGCAAACAATAAGCTGGTTTTGGTTTGGCTTTGCGTTTATTTCTACTACTTGGCATTGTGGTGAGAGTTTGGTAGTTCTGGTGGGGGTGGTATTACTAAGTTAGCTATCATAAGTTGAAGAATTGGCTTTCTAAAATTTTATTTCTCTGCTGGTAGGAGCAGATCTACAATTTCCCATGAATGAAACTCAGCCTAGTTGGATTAAGGGTGGAAATAGGTCAAGGGCTCAAGGCTTGTTGACTGTTTAGCTAAACAATGTCAGGCTTTATGCTATCTAAAAAGTCTACAAGGCCTAATAGTCCAATCAATTTAATTAAATACAAATAATATAAGAATAGTTTTCAATGTTAATAATATTATATTAAGATTTTTCATAATGTGTTAGAATCATATACTTTACTGACCACTCTAGAGATTTATGGCCTGCATAAAAGACTTGAGCATATAAGTTTATTTTGTGATAAACATATAAACATATAGACGTTAAAAGCGACATTTATTAAACATGATAGTCTTGGTCCAAGAAAGCTAGTCTAGCCTAGTTCATTTCCACATCTAACTCTCATGCATATATTTTATTCTCACCAATCTATTAGTTCTTTAACCTACTTAGAATTGAGTCAGATAAAATTTTCAAAAAGTCTGGTCAGGCCTAAAAAAGTTTTTACTAATAACATAACAAACCAAACTTGGGCCTTAAATTTTTCGATAAGGTAGGATCTGTAAGATTAGAAGAAATAGATGGAATTGTTTCATTCCATTGAAAAACGATTAACCCTGAGTATAAGACATACATGGGCAAGTGCAGCAAGCATGGGATAGGTCCTAGAGCCTGTTTTCAATTTCTGTGAAGGCCAGTGGAGTTTCAGGAGTGATGTCCAGTGGTCATTCTAGGGATTAAGGATAATGGTTACTTCTAGGAGCAATATGCCAAGGATTAAGGCAAGACTTTATTATTCAGAGAGAATACAAGCTGCTTAATCCCTAGAATGACAATTTGTTTTAAAAACTATCGCTCTACATATGTAATACGAGTCTCGCTTTTGAAAAGGGTAGCATCCTGATTTCAGATGCATTTCCTAATCTAGAAGAGTTGAACATTGATTACTGCAAATATTTGGTGGTATTGCCTAATGCACTATGTGATATCACCCCATTAAAGAAACTCTGTGTTACTAAATGCCACAAACTTTATGCACTTCCTCAAGATATTGGAAAATTGGAGAATTTAGAACTTCTAAGGCTGAGTTCCTGCACTGATTTGGAAATGATACCAAATTCCATTGGAAAACTTTCAAATCTAAGACATCTTGACATCTCAAACTGTATAAGCCTTTTAAGTTTACCCGAGGAATTCAGTAATCTTTGCAATCTAAGGAATCTGTACATGGCAAGTTGTGGAAGTTGTGAATTGCCATTATCAATCATGAATGTTTTGAATTTGAAGGAGATAACGTGTGATGAAGAGAAGGCTGCTTCATGGGAAACTTTCAAACTTATGCTTCCCAATATGAAGATAGAGATTCCTCATATTGATGTAAACTTAAATTTGTTTCAATGAATTATCTTCCAAGACCTCTTGTCTGTATCACTATCTGTGTTTGAAATTCTAATTAATTATTTTGTAAATAGTGTGCTACTTGTTGCATAATATATATAGGAAATTTGATATATATTGTTTGTATTTTTTGACATGTAATGTCATTAATCTTTATGAAATAAAGCTAGTTGATACATAAAAAATTATTGAAGTGTTTGTATGGTTTCGAGTCTTAATGCTATTAGTGGTTTTTAATTGGATAATTCAGTTTGATTTTTTTTGCACTCACCTTCAATTATTGTCAAATTATAGGAAATATGTCTACCGATGGCGATGAACCCGTACCGATGGCTTGACTAACAAGTAAGTTAATTGATCCTTATCTGAGACATGTATTTATTTATCTTGTTGAATTGGGTGTAAAGGATAATGAATTAATCATGCATTCACCTACTTGCTAAGTGCAAATCTCTTCATTTTAATTTTAGTTTTCAAAATATTGAAGCCAGTCACCAAATTGTACAGCTTCTTCATAGCACAGTAAATGAAAGAAAATTGCATAATACAATAGTGGTCCTAAAAAAAATTAATAATAAAACATGGATTATGACTGAAGTGTAGGAGTTGCACTTCAAATCATCAATCATTAGAAAAAGAATATTAGATGTTACTGAGTCTATTGGCAAATAGTGCATTTCAATTAAATTCTTATTTAATATACATAATAAATGAAAGGCTTAATACCTCTTTTAGTCCCTTAACTCTAGTGTTTGTTTCACTTTGGTCCCTTAAGAAAAAAATATTACATTATGGTCCACTAACTTATACTCTGTTATGTATAGTAGTTCTTTCTGTTAGTTTGGGCTGAGAAAACGTTAGAAATTGCACTGCTGGACTTTAAATGGCTTAGGTGGACATTATATAAATATTTTAATGGATGAGGTGAATTTTGTATTACACATAACATTCATTTTAAGGAGATGAAACGTGTTAGGGCATGATAACATTGTTGGATAAAACGTGTTAGGGCATGATAATATTATTGGAGTTACTTTGAAATATTGGACATGTTAAGAGAGTTAGGTTACCCTACTATATATAGGCTTTGGTATTATGATGATATGATTTCTAATGATATATTTCAGTTAGAAAATGATAAAGGGGCTAATAGGATGACAACCATTGCACTGTTAACTGGGGAGTACCACTTGTATGTTACACATCCTGCATCTGAACCTGATGTTATTGATGAGCCCATACTCTCACTACCACATGTGAGCATATTGGGTGAAGATATGTATGATGAAGGGTCTGATATGGACATGAACTATTAAGGGCAAACCCAGGATCAACCGTGAAGATTACAAGTCAGCCACCAGTTCAAGAGGAAAGCAATGAAAACTCTACTAAATTGAATCCTCATTTTCAAAGGATGTATGTTTGTCTCAAAGCTTGCATGGATATTTTTTACAAATGCAGGCCTATTATAAGATTAGATGGTTATTTCTTAAAGGGATATTATGGAGGAAAATACTAGCTTCTATTGGTAGGGACCCAAATGACCAAATGCTTCCAATTGCATATGTTGTTGTTGAGGGTGAAACTAAAGACTCATAGAGCTAGTTTCTAGAGTTATTGATACCTGATTTAGGAGGAGTCAGGTTGTGCAGAACATATACCTTCATTAGTGATCAATAAAAGGTTAGGTTTTAAACTCTCACCTCGAAATGTAACTGTTAGCCAATTGTTTTATTTTCACCATCATTCTTACTTATTTATAGATGCAGGGTTTACTGCCAGCTCTTGATGAATTACTTGGAAATGTTGACTAGAGATTATGTGTTAGGTAATGTTTACTTTCACCTTAGTAACTTACATATTGAATATGACATACTTTGTTTAGTAACTTACATATTGAATATGACATACTTTGTTTAGTAACTTACATATTGAATATGACATACTTGGTAATGTTTAAACTTACTTTATATTGTAGACATTTGTATAGTAACTTCAGGAAAAAGTTCCCTGGCCTAAAATTAAAGGAGTTGATGTGGAGGGCTGCATGTGCAAGTTATGTTAATGCTTAGGAAAAAAATAATGCTTGAAATAAAAGGAGTTAATGAAGAGGCCTTCAAGCACCTCATCAAAATTCCACCAAGATTCTGGAGCAAATCAAGGTTCCAACCAAGTTCATGTTGTGACACTTTGGTTAACAATATGTCAGAGGCCTTCAATTATGTACTTGTCGCTGCTAGATCCAAGCCCATTGTGATAATGCTGAAAGAAATTAGAGTATACATACTGCAGAGATGGGAATCCAATAGGAAAAAGGTAACCAAATACGATGGCTTCGTACTATCTAACATCAAGAAGAGGATGGAAAAGGAGTCACAAAAAACCAATCATTGGATTGTGAGGTAACATTACTTTCAAATGGCTAACTGTTTACATTGACTATCATTGTTAATGGTTACTTGTTTACAGGCGTGTATGTGAATATGACTATGAGGTGAGACATACTTCACTCAATGGAGAAAAATATATTGTCAACCTTTACAAGAAAGAATGCTCATGTAGACTACGGATGCTGACTGGACTTCCTTATTGTCATGCAATATCTTGAATGAAAGATCAACATTTGGAGATTGATGACTTTGTATCTGACTGTTACAAGAAGGAAAAATATGTTGCTTGTTATGCACATGTGATATATCCACTTAATGGGGAAGCCTTGTGGGCAAAGACTAGTGTTTTTGATCTTCAGCCACCATCAATAAAGAGACATCCTAGAAGGCCAAAGAAAAAAAGGAATAGGGAAGCTGGAGAGATGGTAAGGGATGAGACACACATGAAAAGGGAAATACATGGTATAAAGTGTAGTCGTTGCCACAAGAATGGTCACAACAATGTCACTTGTAAACTACCACAACCACAAGTTAGTTCAAGTCAGGTACAAGATGCAACGAGTCAACAACCATCACAAGATAATAAAAGTCAATCACCACCTGTTGCATCAAGTTAACCACCATCACAAGTTGTTACAAGTCAACCACCACCACCTGTTACAACAAGTCATCCACCACCACAATCATTTACAGGTCAACCACCACCGCATGTTGTTACAAGTCATCCACCATCCAAAACTAAGAAAAAAACTTCATAAGGGTGGAATGCCTGTTTCAAGCCAACCATGATCAATATTATTATGTTTACTAGGATTTTGTAATGCCAATTAATGTCCTGAATTTTTTATTTGTTAATGGCCTTATAATGCCTGTTATGTATTGTCTTATAATGGCTTTTTGGTTTTGAACCTGTTATGTAATATCTTACAATGGTCTTTTGGTATTTGAACCTGTTATGTATTGCCTTATAATGGCCTTTTGGATTTCAACCTGCTGTGTAATGCCTTACAATGGCCTTTTGGTATTTGAATGACCTTGTTTTATTGAACAATGTATTGCCTTATAATGGTCTTGTTTTATTGAACCTGTTGTGTATCAAATATTGAATCTATTAATGAATGTTGGAATGGTTACTGAACCTGTTATGTATCAAACTTTGAAACATGTTTTAAACCTGTTATGTATCAAACATGTTATTGAACCTATTATGTATCAAACATTTTATTAAACCTGTTATGAAACAAACATGTTACAGTTTGTTTCCACAAATATTGGTCATTGGGCTGCATATTTTACAGGTTGGATATTGAGACATTATTCAATGAACCTGTTATATGTCAAACATGTTTGAACAAGTTATATTACAATTTGTTTCCACAAATATTGGTCATTGGTTATGCATATTTTACAGATTGGATATTGAGACATTATTCAATAAAAATGTGAAAACAGAGCACATACATTATTCATTCAAACAACATAACAGTATATCATTCATTAAACAAACTCATCAATTTGTTACAACATAACAGTACATTATTACAATCATAAAAATATAACTTAAAACTACCCTAAAACTAATTGAGATACATTATTACAAACACAAGGTTGAACCATAAGCTTACAATCCCAACAACAATGGATATTTTGAGCCACTCTCGAGTGTACATAACTTCATTCTTCAATCTATTAATTTTCTTCTTTTGTCTTTCAAGCTTCAAATCCCTTTCATCAAGAAACTCATCATCCAACCACTTGAAGAAATTACAACCCTTTTCAATGTGGTTTCTGTAATTTCTACAACCCCATAATTTTCTCCCCTTGTTGACATTGTTCACATCATTCACTGTTCTAAGAACGCTTTCATCTTGGAAAAAACACTCGATCCTCTTGTTTCTACGAATCAAAGATTCAGATGTGTCATAGCTATGATTGTTTGAAGTTGAGGCATTGCTTGAACCATAATTTCCAAATTGCAGAAGAAAATGGAAGATAGTAGAAGGAAATTGGAAGAAAGGGATTTAACCCTGAATTGAAGATGAAGATGAAATAGGTTGAAATATGGAACATGGATGAAGAAGAATGGTGGAAGAAGAATGAAGCGGCAAGAGTGAAATATGGAACCCTAAAGCAACGTATACATATGCTGATATGGAATCTTAAATTGGCTTACTTGGCATGCCACCTCACATAAACTAACATTTTTTTGACACAAACTAACAGAAGGGAGCAAAGTATTTAACGGAACTTAAATTAAAGGACCATTATATAACGTTTTTTAGTTCAGGGATCAAAGCGAAACTTCGCTCAAAGTTAAGGGACCTAGTGACTAATTATGCCTAAATGAAAATGGTATTTTAGTCATTTTTAATGAATTATTATTGTATTTTTCTATTTTCTTACAAGAAATTTATTTTTCTTTTCAAGTTTTTAATATCATTTATTTTATTAAACTACTATATATATATATATATATATATATATATATATATATATATATATATATATATATATATATATATATATATATATATATATATATATATATATATATATATATATATATATATATATATATATATATATATATATATATATATATATATATATATATATATATATATATATATAAATTTAATCTAATAGAAATTTATTGATTTAGCAAATATCTAGGGCTGGCAATGAACTGAACCAACTCGAAAATAGTTCGGAATTCAATTCGACAATTAAATCGTTGAACTAGGTTCATGAACCAAATGAGTTGAGTATGAGCGAAAAATTAAGTTCGTTAACTAAATGAGCTGAACTTGAACTATACATAGTTCGACTCGTTAGGTTCATGAGTCAACTCGATTACATATGAGAAGAATTATATTGTTTTTAAGATTAGGTTTAAATATTTACTCCAAATCTTAGACAAATTTAATCTTCAATTTAGTAGTTTTTGAATTAGACTCTCAAATGTATCTCTTGAAAGTTGTGTAGGTTTTGAATTAGTAGATTTTGAAGATAAAGTTAAATTTTAATATGATAACTTTTATTTTATTTTAAAAATATATATTTATTTAAAATGTCAAATATACTAATATATATATATATATATATATATATATATATATATATATATATATATATATATATATATATATATATATATATATATATTTAAAAAAATAGTTTTTAAGTTCGTGAATCATGTGAGCTGAACCTATTGAGATGAACCTAACGAGTTGAACCGAACTGTTCGTGAACTTATAACAAGTCGAGTTTGAGCTTAAAAAAAAGTTTGTGTTGAACTCGAATTCGAACTAATTCTAACGAGTCGAGCCGAGTTGAGGTGAGTTTGACTCGACTCATTTCCAGCCCTACAAATATCACACCTATATTTTCAAAAACATAGAAAGTGTCTTCTTCTCCATTTAATTTCTTCTTCTTCCCAAACTTTACGTAGAAAATGTCTTCTTCTCCAAATTACTCTCTAAACTAAGAACCCTAATTTCTTCCCCAAATTTCTGTCTAAACCAAGAACCCTAATTTCGTCCCCAAATTTCTTCTTCTCCAAATTTCTTCTTCTCCAATTTCTTCTTCCCTCAATTTCGTCTTAATATCAAACACTAGTAATTCATCTCAACGTTTCGGTGCTTCAATCGCCATTCATCTCAACAATTGGGAGCTACAATTGCAATTCATCTTCTCTCTTTAACTATTTAATATGGCTTCTTACTCGATATTCGGTAATATTGTTGTGTTTTGTTATATGAATTGTGTTCAGTGTTCACCCATTTTCTCCAGTTCTAACTATTCCGTTGTAACCAATTTTAAGATTGAAATATGGTTTCAAGTGTTATTGATTGATTATACTTGGTTAAAAAACTGCAAATACATATATACTTGGTTTCAAGTGTTTTAAAATTATCAATTGGAGATATTTGTTTGGAAATGGTGATTCTAACTACTCTGTTGTAACTATTTTTAAGGTTTATAGATGTTCTTAGAATTATAATTACTATAGAATTTTGCATGTTAGAGATGATTATTTTAAGATAGAAATATGGTTTCAAGTGTTATTTTGATTATGCTTGGTTAAGAACTTGCAAATAATGATACTTTGTTAGAGATGATTCTAATTACTATAGGATTTTGCATCTTAGAGATGACTTTGGAACCAACAGCAGCAGAACCAATAAGAACAGTGAGAGCTGGTTTTGGTTTGCAAACAATAAGAGTATTACTACATGCAAACAATAAGAACAGTGAGAGTTGGTTTTGGTTTTGGTTTTGGTTTTCAAACAATAAGAACAGTGGAATCATCTTCATGGATCAGTTGTTTCTGATTCTGAGTCTTGCAAACAATAAGCTGGTTTTGGTTTGGCTTTGCGTTTATTACTACTACTTGGCATTGTGATGAGAGTTTGGTAGTTCTGGTGGGGGTGGTATTACTAAGTTAGCTATCATAAGTTGAAGAATTGAATTTCTAAAATTTTATTTCTCTGCTGGTAGGAGCAGATCTACAATTTCCCATGAATGAAACTCGGCCTAGTTGGATTAAGGGTGGAAATAGATCAAGGGCTTAAGGCTTGTTGACTGTTTAGCTAAACAATGTCAGGCTTCATGCTATCTAAAAAGTCTACACGACCTAATAGTCCAATCAATTTAATTAAATGCAAATAATATAAGAATAGTTTTCGATGCTAATAATATTATATTAATATTTTTCATAATGTGTTAAAATCATATACTTTACTGACCACTCTAGAGATTTATGGCCTGCATAAAAGACTTGAGCATATAAGTTTATTTTGTGGTAAACATATAACCTACTTAAAGGCCTTATTGAAAAATATCCTTTTAAGAGACTTTAAAATCCCTTTTAAGAAGATCAATTAGACGTTAAAAGCAACATCTATTAAACATGATAGTCTTGGTCCAAGAAAGCTAATCTGGCCTAGTTTATTTCCACACCTAACTCTCATGCATATATTTTATCCTCACCGATCTATTAGTTCTTTAACCTACTTAGAATTGAGTCAGATAAAATTTTCAAAAAGTCTGATCAGGCCTAAAAAAAGCCTTTACTAACATAACATGCCAAACTTTGGCCTTGAATTTTTCGATTAGGTAGGATCTGTAAGATTAGAAGAAATAGAGGGAATTGTTTCATTCCATTGAAAAACGACTAACCCTGAGTATAAGACATACATGGGCAAGTGCAGCAAGC